TTCCGATGCTTATTTACTGTAACTAAGATATTATTTTTTTTTATACAAACCTTATGCTGTTTTCTGACAGGGGAGCGTTGGGGCAGCAAAAGCTTCCCAGAGAGCTCTGAAAAACTTGAATTTCTTTGCCGTCATTGATTGTCGCTCTAAATGGCAAGCGTTCTTAAAGTTTTTTATGCACAGTGCGTAAAAGCTGCTATGTCTGAAAATGCTGTAGTCAGGGTGGCATGCTTATTTTTATATTGGAAAGCACTGAACATTTTCATTTATGTTCTTTATGTTTGCTTTCCAGAGCAATTTTTTCATTTAGCCCTTTCAAGACTGCAGAACTGTGGACTTTCCAATGAAGATGACAGGTGAGATGGTTTATTTGGTACTGTTTCCGTTCATTGTATTTTTAATATTTATCTTTAAAGGAATGTCAGTGGCATCATCATGAAATTGCTCATTAGCCAAGATTCAGATCTGACTGTGTCCGAACAATATGTAACTGATTCCAAGATTTAAATGTTTGGTTTTAAACATACGTAGCACCAGCATTCAAGAAAAAAATTTCTGTGAGGGAGCTTAAACTTATAGGTTTATTTTTATAAGTGTGTTAGGAATTTGCTGGCTGAATGCAGTCCCATCTTCCTCTGTAGTATCTTTTGATACTTGAGGAAAGTGAAACCACCCTGTAAAAAATGAACGTGATTTCCTCTTTCAAAGTCATTATTAGTGTAAGCTAGAGAATGTTTGAGATAAGCAGATGCAAACTGTTGACTGTTTCTACACAAAAGAAATCTTGGGCATATCCCTGTGCTGCTGCTTCCGCTGACCAGCTGCACACCCTTGGTCGTCGTATGTTCGTTCAGCTTCCTTTCCTGTGAACGAGTGAGACAGAGGCAGCCAGGAAAGGCTGTTCCTGGCATTTGGGGAGTAACCAGGGTGTGGCACACAGTGGAGCATGCCTCAGATAACTCGCTTCCCACGGATTAGATTTGTCCTGTTAAAAAAATCTTGGTTAGAAGCCACTTCTGCCAGGATTTTGTTTGTTTGTTTGCTTTGGAGGGTCTTTGTGTGTGTGTGTGTCTTGTTTGGTTGGGGTTTGGTTTGTTTTGGGTTTTTGGGGGGATTTTTGGAGGTAGTGTAGTAGGGTTGGCAAGTATCCTAAAATCCTGTGTTTACCAAGTGATGCAAATGAGTTCTTAGATTTGCAGTCTAGTCAACAGGCTGACAACCTGCCATATATCATGTTAATATGCAGGCTTCTTATTAGAGTTGAATGCAAATAATGCTGAGGTTGACTGTACTTGGTTTTGTTTATTTTAATCAAGGAGATCAAACAGAAGATTGTTCCTTGAAGCCAAATCCCAGGATCACATTTTAATTAACCTTGGGTGGAATATGAACAAAATAATTGATGTTCAAGCCTAAGAATTATCTTGGGTTTAGTACCCAGTTTTCTTTTCTTCACCTACTGTACTCCTTCCTTCCCTGTGTTAGTGTCTATTTCTAGGATGTTTGGGTTTAATCCTAAGGAGAGAGGAAAAAAAGGGAAAAAGTCCTGTTCTCTATCAGGAATGTGATAATTGGGGCAATTTATAAAGAATTGGCTGAGAAAGGCTAGTCTCTTGTCTGGAGTTTGAAGGATAATCATAGCATGGGTTGAGAGGGATCTTAAAGACCATTGGGTTCCAACCCCCATGCCATGGGCAGGGACGCCTTCCACTAGCCCAGGTTGCTCAAAGCCTCATCCAGCCTGGCCTTGAACACCTCCAGGGATGGGGCATCCACAGCTTCTCTGGGCAACCTGTTCCAGTGCCTCACCACCCTCACAGTAAAGACTTTCTTCCTAATAGCTAATCTAAATCTGCCCTCTTTCAGCTTAAAGCCGTTACCCCTTATCCTATCACTACACTCCCTGACACAGAGTGCCTCCCCATCTCGCCTGTAGACCACCTTCAGGTACTGGAAGACTGCGATAAGGTCCCCCTGGAGCCTTCTCTTCTCCAGGCTGAACAACCCCAACTCTCTCAGCCTGTCCTTGTATGGGAGGTGCTCCAGCCCTCTGATCATCTTCATGGCAGTCCTCTGGACTTGTTCCAACAGGTCCATGTACTGCTTATGTTGGGAGCCCCAGAGCTGGATGCAGTACTCCAGGTGGGGTCTCACAAGAGCGGAGTAGAGGGGGAGAATCACCTCCCTCAACCTGCTGGCCACGCTTCTCTTTCAGCACTATAATAGTTTTGGCTGTAGAGACACTTGCAGTACAGCATAGTACCTTTTAAATGGAAGTGTCTGTCCTATACATGAAATGTAAGTTAGTTGGTATTATTTGAATTAGGTTCTCTGAGATGTAGTTATGTTTAGTGATTCTGGGAAGTATTCTTCATTTTAATAAAAGTAATATATTTTAGAAGTACTGAAGCAAAATGAGAACTATTAGTATTTAATTGGCAGTAGTATAAAAAAAATCAAATGTATAATGACTTTATACAGTGTATTCTTTCTGGTTCTGTCAGGTTTTGTGTGTAGTACTGTTAGGTCATGAATCACGGTAGTTAGGAAGAGTTTTTACATACATATATATTTGACCAAGATACCATGGCTTTTAAGTGTGAAACACTTTGGGAATGAATCCTAACAGCATTCTGTAGTAATACAGCAACAGAATTATGAGGCAGTTCTGTGTTGCTGCTGCCTAATTCAGCCTTCTTGGCAGAATGCAAACGGAATTTCCCTATGATCTTTTATTGAGGCAGAGTTGGGAATGTACTATTAAGTACTTTAGCAAATAGTAGGCTATGTGAGCACCAAATCTATGGTGCCCATATAGCTGTATTTGTGTGCGACGTAGCTAAAACTGTACATACTGAGCTACAAAGGATTTTCTTTCTGAACAGTGCCATTTTCTAGAGTTAGGTGTAATTCTTACTGTGTAAAGGTCTAGTTCTCCAGAATTGTTTGGGAGTGAACACTGCCGTCAGTAGAATAGGCCATAGGAGAAGGGTTTTCCAGGCTAGGGTTATATCCCCTGACTAACCTCTGACCAGCCACTCTATCCATTTCCTCATAATTTCTCTGGCCACTCTCAGGACTCGTAGCTCAACAGCAGTAAATTCTTACAAATGCATTTACAAAATCCTGAGTCAACAAAATGCAACCTCTGCATCTTCCTTTTACCAAATAACCTCAAAGGAAATAATTTGCATTCCTCAACTGACTATGGGGGTGTCCGTTAATGAAGTTGAGGCTGAGATCTTTTTCCTTTTACAGAGAAACAGTATTTCCGTGGAATGTGGAGGATGCAAGCCTTTTGACCTTTAAAGGCTCCATTTCCATTTCACAATATTTTTCTTTTATAGACTAGGAAAATGTTTCTTTTAGCATTTCGCCATATAAACAAAATATGTAAGTTAATGCCTGGCTTTGAGATTAAGAGGCTCTTGTACACAATCTGAATAGGGCAATGGTTTAAATGACTAAAGAAGTTTCATTCCCATGTTGGAGATCAGTTACCATGCGATTTGCATTGGCATCCATTTATACTCTAGATCTCTAACACCGAAAGGCAATCCCTTTGTCACTCAAATCATTGCTATAGCAATTGTCATAGCTGAGGTCTTAATATTTTTCACTTTCATCAGTATTTTGCTGGTAGTTTTAAGCTGGACCTCCAGACATTTCAGTCTGTTTTATTTCACTTGTAGCACACCTGATGTTGTTTAAGGAGATCTGAATTTATTTATCTTCTTGCCAATTTATTGTCTTGAAGAAAGGGTGAGTGTTGGGGTTTTTTTTTTAATATGAAAACATGAAAAGGGAAACTTTAAGAAGTGGGGCTGGTAAAATATCTGGGAGTAACCATCTGCTGAAAAACAGTGTGTTGGTTTCTGTTATCTACAGTAAGTACAGGTCAGTTTATTTAACTTAAATATCTTTGAATACAGTCCAGCCTTGCTACATATTATTTATCTCCATTTCATATGTCTGTTTCCTAACCTATTATGGTTTGGTTTGTTTTTGTTTGTTTTTTTTTTTTAATCTAGCATAAACAATTTCCCTCTCTGCTTATTGTTGTCAGTGGAATCTGTACTGCTGTGGACATAGACCTATGATTGTAACTGGACACAGTTGAATAGTGGGGGGCGGGCTATGGGGAGGAGAAATTCAGAAATAGCACATCCATGCCAGATTTCCTGTTTGAGTTGGCCTGTTTTGACTTCCTGTGCTTGACAGATTAAAAGCTGGTCTTTCTAATTCGGTTGACTGCATGACTGTATTCATGTACAATTCATCGGGAGTATTTGATCTGCTTGTTGACTTTATCCATTTCAAAAATTCACAATCCAATATTGGATGTTTTGCTGGTTATATGAAGGCAGCTTATAACTTTATTTTTGAGTATGCACGTTATTAAGTGCACTGGAGTTTGAGAGTTTAATCAAGTTTGGTTTGTTTTTGTTTGTTCCGTTCAAATTTCACTCTATTTTCCGTTCAAGTAGTATTAGTCAGCTCTTAGCCATGAACAAGATCTGGTCTGCATCCCTCAGTAAGAGGGAAGAGAGTTTGGGTTTGTCTTGAGAGCAGTTACCTAGCTTCTGTAGCTGCATGAACCTCAGTTGCCCGGCTCTAAAGTCACATTTTATTTTACCCTCCCTGCCCTGAGTGTGTTCTGCCCCATCACAACTGCACAGTACAGAGAGGAGAACCCAAAGGGCTCTTCAGGTTTATACCAGAATGGAAGACATTATTTCAATAGCTAGGGATTGACATAGCAAAGAAACTGCTTAAATCATAGCTTCTGCCAAACCAGTGTCCATCAAGCATCAAGGATGGATGCTTTAGCCAGGAGGTACCGCCAGGAGTTACCACCAGGAGTTGGAGTGTGAGTAGCAGTTTAGGATTTGCATTGTGGTGATGAGGTTTGTACTGCAGTTACCCAGCTGTGGCCATGTAACTTTTGGTGACACCGAATTCAGAGAATTCGAGGTGATTGAAGCTTTGCGATTTACAGACGCATGCTGTTAAATGACAGGAAAATGTGATACAACCATATGCTAATTCTGAAGACTCGTTCCACCTTCATAACGTTTTTTGTCCAGTTTTCCTTTTTCCTTCCTGTTGCTTGTTTTCCTTCCTTGCTGCTGTTTCTCTGTAGCCCAGGATCTAGTTTTGCTCTCTGTGCTTCAGCTGCAAGTAACAAAGTGTAATTCAGGAAAAGAGTAACTTCATCTCCCTTCCTCACACTGTACACTTTAAAAGAGGCATATGTTCATCAGCTTGCTTTCTCAGGATATCTTAAAACTAGATTGAAAAGGTAATTGGAAAATGAGTGGGCTGAAGCAGTTCTGGAGTAGAAGGGGAAGGGTTTTGTGGGTGTAGAGGGAATGGGCATCCTGAGGACAGGATGGTGTAACAGGTTTTCACCCCTCTAATTTCTGAGGTACTGAGTCACACGGATTTGTGGCATTAGCTGGAAATCTTTTTATGAATGCTCGGCTTCTACTAAGCTGCTCAGGAAACACTAGAGAAAGGTGTGCCAGCTCTTCCCATGTTGCCCCACCCTGAGAGCCGTATTTAGCAGCACTATTTTTGTATATATGCATACACGCATACACACACATATATAAAATTTTTACTCCTCTGCAGATGTGGCCCTAGAGCAGCAGGTGAGAAGGTGCCACCTCAACGTTTCTTTTGAAATACAGTGCTTTTTACAACTGGCATTTATTCTCATCTCACCTTTTCTGTAAGCTTCAGGTTTTCAGCATTACTTTGATACCCAGTTTCTTTTCCCTAGCCCACAGACAGTACAGCATAACTGCATTAACAGTGCTGTAGGGAAGTACAGGGAACTGCTTTGTACACTAAGATGATGGTCAGTCTCAGCTGGAACAGGTTGTTTCAGTTGATGTTGAATAGTACTCTTCTCAGGTGAAAAATCAGGTCGGACTATCTGAGGAGAAAGATGTTAATTAGTCTGCATAGGGTGTTACAGTGGGCATTTAATACAGATTACAGTTTTTTTGGGACACGGTCCTGAGGTCCCCTACAGTAAGAAACGGCATAGAGCCTTTTGCTTATTGGAAGAATGGTGAGAGTGGGACGCTGGGAAGTGGCTCATCCTCAGTATGTTGTGAGCCTCTTTGTGTCTGAAGGAAATACCAACATTTTTATTTTGCCATTGTTCCTGCTGTAACCAAGTTGAACAGCTTTTTCTCTAAATAAAAAAGTATTTTTACAACAAAAAAATGATATGCTTGTTCAGTAAAGAGGAGTTTGCAATTTTATATGTTGGATATAAACCTTCCCTAAAGAGGCAGAATGTATTGAGTCAAAAACCAGTAAACCTGTCTGTGCATGCTTTTATTTTTTTTTTTTTTTTTTTTTTAAGCAAAGTACACATTTTGCTAGCATTGAAGTAAGACTGTCCAGCACTTTTCTAAGTAGAGGGGGTAAAATCAACATGATTATATTTGTTTGAAGAGCCATCATGTGTCTGGGGCTAAGGTTTTTCACATGTACAGTTCCGAGGCTTGTAAGGTAAATAGTGGACATAAATCTTGCTGCATTAGCACATGTTGGAGATCTCTAGAGTTGTGGAGTTGTTCAGTGTTGCAGAAGCACCTTAATTTGAATTTATTTTTTCCAGACATACTCTATCCTGGTTAGTATACCTCCAGACTGGGACAAGTTTGAAGCATTGTAGAAGATAGTTTATCTAATGGCACCCGTATCACCAGCTGGTCAGTTGATCTTAAATAGCAAACTGCTAGAAAAAGGACATCTATAAGAACAGTTTTACATGAGAGAAGCCGTTTCCTGACTTTGGCAGTCCCTGAAATAATACATCTGCATTTTTTGAAAGCAGCCTTAGTGAGTGATACAGGACTGAGACTGCTCTATAGGGGGCCAAGGAATGTAAAAATACGGGACCTCAGTTGGTAAATAAGCCAGATAAATGCTGATATGTAATTAGTAGCAATGTGAAGCAAGGGAAGTTGTGCATATATTAAATGTTCTGTTTGTTCCACAGCATTGCGTGTCGACGGTGTGTTGTGGTCGGTAATGGAGGAGTACTTCGAAATAAGACGTTAGGGGAGAAAATTGACTCCTATGACGTGATAATAAGGTAAATGGTATCTCCTTTTCATTTTGTATACATGCAAAGAATTAAACTTTTGCTGTCAGCTAGTAGCTTTGGAGTTCAGGTATTATATAAATGTATAGAACTTCCCATTTTACTTTGTCACCGCCTTAATTTTAAAAATTCTAGGAAAAAATGCATCAGTGTTTTATTACACAGACTGATTGATACAGAGGAGAAAGGATCACCGGGTGGCCTGTCTGCCTCCTGTACAGATACACACGTGCAAGATGATGCCATCAGGGATGAGTCCAAGCACGTGACAGCCCGGAGCCTGCATGTGCCCCTTGCTGCGAACCAGCAGCCCTGCCTCTTACCTTCCACACCATGCCTCTCTTACCTCTGTGCTGGCAAGTGCATTGCTCAGAGTGGATTAAACGTACCATTCATGCTGGGAAGTCCATCTCATGGCATGTGTAAACTGCAGGATGATTTGATGTTTGCCCCTTTTTCTCAAGCGTGTTAGTTCATATTGGAAGTTTGAGACACCTCAACCTACCAAAGGATGCTGGGGTCTGAAGAAGAGGCATCTGGACTAGGGAAGCTGGGGAAGCGCTCAGAGAGGAACAGGCAAGGAGGGGAAGGAAAAAAAAAAACAACAAATCCTCAAATGTTAAGCAAACTGAAAATGGAATATTTGGCTAATTATAACAGAAATTTTCTGTACATTAAGAAAAAGATAAATCAATTTCTCCTTTGCAGGAACTGAGACGGTAACAGATTAAACAGCCCTTCTGCCTGTTGGTACCCTGTCAGACAGTGTGCCTGAAACCTCTGAGATGCCATTTCAGTTTGTCTGCTTCAACGTTGTGTTGAACATTGAACAAAATCTGATTTTTGTCACTTTGATATCAATCCTTTCAGTCCCCAAGCACTACCACAAGAAGTTGTTTACAAAACCTGGAGTGTGGTGTGCATTTGAAAATGTTCTGATAAGGTGGAAATGAATACATGCAATTCTTCAGTTATAGCTCCCCTTATAAACTTAAAACTATAGAAGTGATACAGATAATATTCCTGTTCTTAGGAAGCCTTACTTGCCTAACAACTTTGTGCTTTACCAAAAAAAAAAACCAAAACCAAACCCCACCTTGCACTTTTTTTGCTGTAGGATAATGATGCAAGGAAGCTCCATGGATTATTGTTAAGCTATTTCAAGTATTTGGGCTCCTTGTAGATCTATTTGCTCCTCTTAAAGTGTAAAGCTTTTCATAGACTGGTGTCACACATTTAAAAACAGCTCTAAATTCAAAACTGTTTCAGAAATGTAGTACACATGTTTACTGTGAATGAACAAAGAGGTGGTGTTTGCATTCTATATTTAGTGACGACTTCTGATAAAACTTTGAAATATTTCCTTGTCTGCATACCTTGTTTCGCAAACGTTTGCTCCTAAGCAGCATGCCTCCTGTTCTGAGCAGTCAGTCACATCGTCAGGAATGGAGCATTCTCCAAAGAATACGCAACACACCTGCCAAGCAAAAACTGCAAGATGGAGCCTTAAACACAGCCCCTCTAAAACCTCAGAGGAGAGACACCTGACCTACCTGCTCACTGCTTATTAATCTGTTTATATCCCACAGCGGTGGGAGTTGTGCAAGTAATATAAGAAAAAAAAAAAGGGGGAACAAAAAAATCCCTCAGCACCCAAAAAACCCCAAACAAACAAAAAAGTAAATGTAAAGATGTATCACCATCAGGTACACAGTCATAATCCCTGTTCCTGTATGCTGTAGACAGTGAAGAGTATTAAAACATTCTTGAATTGCCTCTTGTATGACTCGGATCATCTAGTAGCATGAATGGAGCAATGGGTAATTCTCCAAGCCAGATATTCTCTTTAGTCTTCTCCAGTTTCTGTGTTTGAGCCAAATCAGTAAGCCTTCTGCTCAAGTGACATGCAATAAGCAATCATGCAATTGTATTCTAAACCACCTTGGCCAAGTTCCCATATGTGCTTGATCCCTCTGAGTTAACGGGCGAGTGCACCTGATAATTGCTCATCTGTCATGTACTGTGATAAGTAAATGCCAGGCCACTGAGCCCTCCTGTACCTGGCCACGCAGACAATGTGTGTGCCAGCCACTGCGCAGTAAGGACATGGATGGGATCATCATTGCTGTCTCTGTCCTCTGCAGAATGAATAATGGCCCTGTTATAGGGTATGAAGAGGATGTCGGGAGGAGAACTACTTTCCGCCTTTCTTACCCGGAATCCATCTTTTCGGATCCGATCCACTACGACCCTAATACGACTGTTGTTCTCATCGTCTTCAAACCACGTGACTTGAAGTGGCTTTGGGAGATACTAAGTGGTCAGAAAATAGTGAGTTTAATTATTCATGCACTTTGGTTCAGCTTGCCACACACCTCTCGCATGAAATACCTGTTTTACTGTTAACCTTAGCCCTCCTAGCTGGGGGGGACCTGTGGATCTCCTAGTCAGTCTACTCAATGTCCCTTTTCCATAAATGCTTCTGTCCTCTTTCTCACACACATATTTGATCGGTTGCTCAACCCAAAGCAGTTTTCCTCTTGGAAATACCTTTTTATCCTCTTCCTAGCACTGTTTTATATTCTGACATGCATGCTTCAGCCATTTCCCAGATTATTTTATCCTGTACACTTGGTGGAATTACACAATAATGTTGGAGGGGACCTCTCTCTGGAGGTCTTTAGTCAAAAACCATGTTGAAAGAAAGCAAGGCCAAGTTTAAAGCCATACCAGCTTATCAGGGCATCATCCCAGTAACTTTTGAGTATTTCCAAGGATATTTCTACAACCTCTGTTTCAGTGCTGCAGCACCCTCACAGGAAAGAATTTCTCCTCATGCTTTCACTGTGCACCTCTGAGAAGAGTCTGATCCTCTCTTTTTGTGAACCCCTACCCGATAGTTGAAGATGAGCTGAACAACCCCAGCCTCCTCAGACCCTTCTTGTTTGCTGCACGGCCCAGCCCCTTGGCTGTTTTAGCGACCTTCTGCTGAGCTTACCCTAATTTAATGCCCTCTTGAACAGGAGGGAGCCTAAAACAGCATTTGTGAGGTCACGGAAAGGCACAATATAAAGTACTTGAGAATGATAACTTCTATCTACTTGTTCTCTGTGCTCTTATTAATATGGCCAAGCATTTGCTGCCTTCAGGGCACGCTGCTGGTGCGTGCTCTCTGTCAGGGACCTTTCTGTCAGGGACCTTTCTGCCAGCCAGCTGGCCCCAAAGTCTGCTGCTGCAGTGGGTTATCCTGTTGCAGGTGCACAATCTGGCACACTTTTGTTGAACTTTGGGAGGTTCAACACTCCTGCCCTTGGATTTTACTCTGGTTAGAGTTGCTAGAAAACCAAAATCAACTGTTTATAGTTGTTAAAAATGTGATTTACTTGCCTGTTATAGAGTGCTAAAGGCTTCTGGAAGAAACCAGCTCTGAACATGATATACAAATCTAGTCAAATCAGGATCCTTGATCCCAGCATCACCAGAAAAACTGCTTATGAATGGCTTCGTTTCCCAACAAGGTTTCCCAAGAAGGAGGTAGGTTTTTTTCTTCTGTGCCTTTTAGGCTTGTGCAACCAAACATGTACTTGGAGGTTATTATCTCTTTATTATAGTGGACTATGTTAAACATCTTTTAGGCTCATATTGCAGTAGTTTGCATTTAAAGGGTGCTCAAAAAAGGTGGGAAAATGGAATCCAGATAGAAAGTGGGTAGCCTTGTGTGCCAAAAATCTTTTTATGGGTTCTGTAATTAGTACTAAATGAGACTGCTTTTGCAGACAGACATAATGCCTTTTATAAAATTGGGAAAAGCAGACAGGCATTGGAAAGTGGCAGATCCAAAGAGCGCCTAGAAATATAAGGTATCTTGAATTATTAAATGCAGTGTGTTTATAGTTTTTCTCTAAAAAACCCCCAGAAAACACTCAAACCCAAAACACCGGAAAAACCCCACACCAAACAAACAAAACCCCCCAAAACTCCAACAGCCCAGTAATTCTAATGCTGCTGCAGTTTCTCTCAGCTGGGGGCGGGTAGGGATTAGGGAGCACACAGGATATTCCAGCCCTGCAGTAATGATATATGTCTAGCAGTATTCTTGTGCTTACTGATTCCACGCCAAGCATTGTAATGAATTAACCAACAATTTGGACGTAAAAATAAATTTTACTGTCAGTTTGTGACTGAAGAATGTTTCTGATGAAAGGTAAGGCTTCAAGCTGGAGACCTCCCTTGTGCAGTCAGGACCGACCACGTGCTGTTTAGCACAAATATGATTCCCTAGGGTCACATCGTTGCACAGAGCTGCTTTACTGAGATTAGCCAACTGACATGTGTGGAAACATGACAGGCTGTTACTGTGGAGTATCTACCACAACATTTTCCTGGTTTAATCTTTCTAATATTTGAGGGAGTTGAGGGGTTTTTGCTTTGGAAAGTTTTTTGTGCTTTTTTTTTTCCTTTTATCCTTTTAAAAATTTATTTATTTTTTTGAGTGTACTAGTGGCTTTTTCCTCCCTTATTAACTCTCAAACTGGAATACTCAGTTTGGCTGCATGCTTGCTGGGGCTCTGTGGCATTTTAAGCTCTTCAGCCAAGGGTCGAGGGTTGGAATAAAGAAACATAGTAGTTGGGCACCTAACTATCTCCTAAAGGGCCACAGAACATTTGTGGTCTCCATGGCTCCAGAAATCCCTCCTCTCTCTTCCTGTGCTCCCCTCTCAATGGGGGTAAAGGACCAGTGCTGTCAGCGAGCCAAACAGATGTGCACCGTGTCCCAGAGCTGATAACTGAGGCACCAGCCCCTCAGTTGCTTTGGGTAGCGTGCATGTTTTCTGCTCCTCTCCTGCTCGCTGGGTGCCTTTGCCCAGAGCTGGGGCAGAGCGTGTCTGTGCTTGGAGCCCCTTTCCACCACCTCCATATCCCACTTGCTCCATCCCAGGGGTTTTGCAGCCCCTTGTCCCAGGCGGCTGCAAGGGTTCAGCTCAGGCGTGCTTGTCCTCATTCTTCCTCCTACCTCTGAGGCAGGCTGTGGCTGGGAGCCTGCACATCTGCAGCCGCTCTGGCACAGCTGATGGGAAGTGGCTGGCTTAAGCTGCAGGTCATGCCTCAAGGGTTCCCGTTGGCAGGGCAGCCTTTTGCAGGATGCGCTTTGGAGTCCTTTGTCCTTGTAGTGCATCTGGTGCTGCCTTCGCTGTCCTGTGCTTCTGCCCTCTCTTCCTGCAGGAGACACCAAAGACCTTTATTCCTTCCCCTGCTGTCTTTGCCTTTGCTATTAAGCCCACCGATGTTCCCCGTGTGCGCATTTGTGCCTAGTCCAGCAAGCAGTTCTGTTTCTTTGTTAGCAACTGTGGTGGTGTTCACAGGGGCAGGAAGAACAACTGTAAAATCAGATGTGCTGCCCCAGCAGCACTAAAGTCAGAAAGTGTTGCAGAGTCATGCCAGTGCTGCACTTATTCCCATTGAATGTGACTGGCTGGACAGACGTCGTTACAGGCCGAGGGAATCTGGATATTGCTGGGTCGCAAGTGTGATGATACATATTAAAAGTAGCATTGCTTTTTTTAGTATATTCTTTTGAGGTGAACTTTATGATAGCCAAAGGTAAACAGAGCTAGTTGCAACCTGTGATATTGCTGATATTTCCAAATAGCACTGATCCTGACATGTAGCATTCTTGCCATAATTTTTGGGTCCTGTTTAGTATGGACATGGCAAAAGGGGCACCACTAAGTTTATGATATTGGGGCCCCAGGGCAGAAAGTTATTTTGTTAACTGTCAGGAGCCCTGGGCAATAGTGTGGATTTTAAGTTGATCTTATTTCTGGAGTACTCCCAAGAGTTGTATAAAGGTACAAAAAAATTCTGCATGAAAGGTGATAGTTCAGTTCTGTGCCTTTAATTAGACTTAGAGAGTTAACGTTAGTAACGCTTCCCTGGGGATGTGTTCTTTTATCATACAATACAAAGAGGTATTTTTCTGTATCATTGAGTGCATCTGCCTTCTCTCTGCACAGAGTTGTCTAGTATTGGTTTGCCTGCTTTGTTGTCAGAGGCAGATGAACTGAGCCTTGGGTAAGAGTTCAAAAAAGCACGTGGTTTTGTGCTCACTTTGAGGTTTGATTGCAGCTACTGAAAGTGTGTACTTCATTTGGTCTCTGAGAAGACTTATTTTACCTAAGAAGGGTATTATTGCCTGAAAGACTTCCCCCCCCCCCCCATTTCTGGGGGTGCTTTTTTCCCTCAGCTTGATCAGTTAGTTAATGAAAGACATTACCTCTCTGTACAAACCTTGCTGCTGCTGCTAAAACAGCCATGTACTTGATCACAAGATAGGACAGGTGGTCTCAATGAGTTGTTCTATGCTCTCATAACAATGCTAATTTTCAGTTAGGTGCTCTTAATTTTTCACGGTTAAAACCTGTGTATGACCTGCTCTTGATAATTTACATTGCGTTTGCTTCTGAGTTATCTCACTGTAGGGAGAAATAAGCAATTTTATCTACAGTTTCTTTTCTTCTAAGAGAAATAGTAGGGGAGGGTCTGAAGCTGTGCTCTTGTGGAATTTCCCTGCTTCAAAAAAGTTCAAATGGGGCCAAATTTATGCAGCAGTAGCATTTGTGCTTTTTTAGTTTGGTGTTACGAAGATTTGAGGCATGTCATGTTATTCTGTTTGTTTGGATCTCCATTACTTAGATTCTTCTGAACACATCCAGTAATTCAGTCAAATTTGACGGAGTGAAATGGTCTCAAATTATTGAAGCCTGACCAGTTTCATGAAAGTAGGTTGCTGAGCGTAGGGATGGGGAGACCTTCCGAATGCCTTAGCAGAGGGAAGAGCTACAGTATGGGCTCAGCTGTCACTAGAATCTGGAGAATCCCAGGAAGGCAAACATGGCAGACACCCCGATCATGGAGAACCCATGGGCAGTACCTCGCTCCCTATAAGAAATGAGGGGATCAAACTACAAAAAGAAATATCGGTAGAAGAGGCAGGCTGCCTGATTTCCACTGTCTTTGTTCTTAGGCTTGCTGTTCCTGTCAAGCCGCTAGTTATTTATATGTGCTCTTTGTGTTTTGTTTTAGAAACCCAAGCATCCAACAACGGGGCTAATTGCCATTACACTAGCGTTTCACATATGCCATGAAGTTCACCTGGCAGGTTTCAAGTATGACTTCACTGACAGAAACAGTTCTTTGCACTACTACGGTAACGAGACGATGTCTCAGATGATGCAGGTAACAAACACTTGTTTATGCTGAGAGAAATATAGCTGGTAACTGGGGAAGACAACTCAATATACATAAAAGTGTGGACTGCAGGTCAGAAAGGCTTCCTATCTTAGAATCATCATGGAATGATTTGGGTTGAGAGGGACCTCAAAGATCATCTAGTTCCAACTTGGGCAGGGACACCCTAATATCTAATCTAAATTTGCCTTCTTTCAACTTAAAACCATTATCCCTTGTCCTCTCACTACACTCCCTGATACAGAGTGCCTCCCCATCCCTCCTGTAGGCCCCCTTCAGGTACTGGAAGGCTGCTATAAGGTCTTCTTGGAGCCTTCTCTTCTCCAGGGTGAACAACCCCAACTCTCTCAGCAAGTCCTTATATGGGAGGTGCTCCAGCCCTCTGACCACCTTCATGGGCCTCCTCTGGACCCACTGCAACAGGTCCGTGTACTGCTTATGTTGGGGGCCCCACAGCTGAGTGCAGTACTCCAGGTGGGGTCTCATGAGAGCAGGAGTAGAGGGGGAGAATCACCTCCCTTGACCTGCTGGTCACACTTCTCTTGATACAGCCCAGGATGTGGTTGGCTTTCTGGGCTGCAAGCGCACACTGCCAGCTCCAGCTTCTTATGAAGTCCTTCTCCTCAGAGCTGCTCTCTATCCATTCTCCACCCAGCCTGTATTTGTGCTTGGGATTGCCTCGATCCACGTGCAGCACCTTGCACTTGGCCTTATTGAACTTCATGAGGTTTGCATTGGCCCACCTCTCAAGCCTGTCAAGGTCCCTCTGGATGGCATCCTTTCCTTCCAGCATGTCGACAACAACACACAGCTTGGTGTCATTGGCAAACTTGCTGAGGGTGCACTCAATCCCACTGTCTGTGTGTCTGACAAAGATGTTACACAACACCGGTCCCAATACCGACCCCCATGGAACGCCACTCGTCACTGGTCTCCACTTGGACCTCAAGCCATTGACTGCAGCTCTTTGAGTGTGACCATCCAGACAATTCTTTATCCCCTGAGTGGTTCTTCATCAAATCCATGTCTCTGCAGTTGAGAGACAAGGATGTCATGCGGGACAGTGTCAAATTCTTTGTACAAGTCCAGGAAGATGAAATCAATTGCTCTTCCCTTATCCACCAATGCTGTGACCCTGTCACAGAAGGCCATCACACTTGTCAGGCACGATTTGCCCTTGGTGAAGCCATGTTGGCTACCATCAATATTTTCCTGGTTCAGCTGCTTATGGGTTAACATTGGTTGGATCTCTTCCCTTCTGCTATTGTTTCTGAAAAATGTGAATAACGATGTTTTTGTCCTTTGTGATACACCATATTCGGCAATGTCTGCATGAGATGCGTCCATTTGTACATTCTGTTTTGCTTTACTGGCATTATCCTTAGGCTGCGCAGCTCTCCTTCATAGAGGGGTATTTGCTGGCACTATCAGAACATAGGCAGTGTTGTTTCTGTTTGCATTCTCTTTTTCATGGGCAGCCACTTGCACAATTTGTCATAATTGCCAAACTTCCTAAAAAAGACAGAAGACTGCAGGGGAAAGGAAGGAGTTAGACCTATAAATGTGCAATTAGGAAAAAAAGCTGAATTTCAGAAATCGAAAGCAGAAAAGAAAAACAGCTCTTAGAGGGGAGTAGGAAGAGAAGGAACCGCTTGCAGGTGGGGGAAGCCACAACTCGCTGGGGGAGGGAGCAGCAAGAGCTGGCAAACGTCGGGAATGCCTTCTCCTCCCATCCTGCAGAGAAGGGCCTCCTGCTTTGCCCAGATCATGCCTCTGTTTTCTTTTATGTCTCTGCTCTTGTCTTCAGCTCCGTACTCCGAGCAATGCCATCTCAGCCCTTTACCTCAATGCAAACAGTTTTATTTTCCATTTGCATGTGCATGCCCAGTGCATGTGGGGACTATTTTCTCTCCTCCCTTTCCTGAAGGAGGAGGATGGGGGCAACATCTGCAGGAGCCTCTTGGGTCTCTCTGAGGACCCCCAGGTGGCTGCTGCTCTGAGATAATTTTGCTGTGGCACTGAACTCACCTTCATTTTGGGGCTCCTCTCTGCAAGTGCTTTTTTGTGATGTATACAAAGCTTGGGTAAGGTTGATCACTAGTTGAACAGCCATCCATAGTTTTCCTAAAATCTTTAAACTTTAAAAAACAACTAAAAAAAACCTTATTAATTCCTTAGTGATAATAAGTTGTAAATATTATACTATATATGTATAATCTTTTACGCAGTATTTGTATTATATTCCATTTTAATTTACTGGATTAAGTGTCTAAGATTGTCAGTAAACTTCCTTCCCTCGTGCTGTCCTCCGCCAACCCCGGTGGTCTCTTGTGTATCCAGGATCCGGATACAGCAAGGAAGATGGTTTTGATTTCTTCAAACCAATTGGCAGAACTCATCCAATGTACAAATGCCTGATGTGTGCTTTTCCAGAACCCGCACTGAGATTTGAGAATTAGTCGTTTTCTAATGGTGTGCTGTAAATGTGGTCGTGCAGCTGTTCCCTGTAAGCCCGGGGAGGAGTTGGGAGAGTTTGTAATGGAAGGAGAGACTGCATCTCACCCATTCTTGCCACTGAAGGCTCATCCCTTTTGGGTTGTGTCCTAATGGAAAATCCAATCTAGTTTTGAACAATAGAGTCAGTTGCCTGTTTTCTTGGGAGACCATACTACAGCTTTTGCTAGAAGTCTTTTTCCCAGAGTTGATTTTTCTTAGCAACTTCCAAGTATCACAGGTAATTAAAAGGAAGGAACAGTAAAGTGATGCTTCTGGTAATAATATGAATTTTTTTTTTTCTTGTTCTCTTCTACCTCTTTAGAATGAATACCACAACATCAACGCTGAGCAGAAATTTTTGAAGAAGCTTATAGACAAGAACTTTGTGGTCAATTTGACATGAAAGCTGAATGGAAAATACGAAGAACAATCACTACTTTGAAGATTTGCAAAAATTTTTATTTTTTTGTATGACATTTTTATTTTTTATGTGCAGCATAACTGTTTACTGTTTAAAAGGAGCACAGAAACCTCACCAAGGCAGAAGCTTCTTCTAAGCCTGAGGGTAATGAACTATTGCAAACAAGAGTTAACTGAATTTCTGTGAAGCTATTTAATAATGGGGAAAACCATGAAACTTTCATCCGAAAGTATCAGGGATATATAAAAATGTGATGCACATCACTTATTTATCAGCAAGAACTCTCCAAATGATTACTTCTCTGGAATACTTTTGCTTCTGATGTTGTCAGAACAGTTACACTGTCAAGAGACTGAGATAACCAGTGCTCAATTAGTAGATGGATGTAAAGTCTTGAATGTCTGTCTTGTAGTATGAAAATGGCTTTAAAACGATGCCTCTAAATCATTACTGTGTGTTTGGGAGAAGGGGGAACATACTGAGCGTACAGATTTTAGTCTACCCTACTGAGGAGGGGAGCTCCATCTTCAGCAAAGAAGCCACTGCTCCTGCACTGGCCATCGGCTCTGAACTGCTGCCTTTGCCAAAGGTGAAGACCCTTTGCTCTGACTTGTGGAGATGTTGGTATTGACAATGCCCATGTTGTACCCAGTTTATGGAAAACCCTACTCCCTGTGCTGTGTGTCCAATAAATTTTACAGGTGATGACTTGACTTAGAAAAGAGGGAGTATGAAGACTGAAATGTGTCCTAACTACATGCGTGTCAGCTGCTTCCCCCAGGCTGCAACAGAAACGTGAGCTGGGACAGAGATGTTCACATTTAAATTCAGAGCCAACGTTTGGTGGATTCCTACATCTCCGGGACAGGATCTCGTGTGTCTTTCTGTTTGCTTCCCAAGAATCGAGGTGTATTTTTCTAAACCAGCATGAGCTCCTTTTTCAGATGCTGTAATGACTTTCCACCTTCGAAATGCATCAATATGAGCAATGAACGTTCCCATTTTTGGCAGTGGAATGTGCTAGGGAATATCCAAGATGTACCTCAGCTGAATTACCCTTTGGCTTGTGTTTACCTCTCCTGCCTTGACATTTAGGTTTAAAGGACGTGGCTGAACCAAATCATTTAGTGGTGGGAACTTACTTGGGATTTTAATTGAAAGATTTAATGGGATGTTTGTTTCCTGTATTGGTTTGTCTCGGACAAGCCTGATGAATAAGTTAAATCTGCCTGGGAATGTCTTTGACAGTTGTCAAAGAAGAACAAGTAGTATGCTGTTGTAATTCTCTCACAGAGTGTATTTCTTTTTTTTTAAATTGTGGCAGGTTTGCTTGAAGATCTTGTGGTTATCTTGAACAGTCACACCTGAAGAAAGCACAAAGAAGTCCACTTAAAAGTCTTTATAATTGGGCAACAAACCTTTGCTGCTTTTTAATAAAATAATATGGAGAGCTTTAGTGTGTTTAGGAGCAGTGCAAACAATTAAAACATGAATACAAACCTCTGCCAGGTCAGGAGTACAGTATTTGCATTTTTCAGAAGCTGAGGGTTACAGGACTGAACACAGCTTCTTTGCAGCATAGGGGAAGAATAAGCATTGAAGTGACCAAAGAGTCCTATTTCTTTTTTCCCATTTCTCCTGTGGAGTGCAATAGGTATCTAAAACCCCGCCTTCCCGTAGTTAATCTCCCTGTTCAGCTGCTGGTCTCTGCCATTTGGGAATTGTGGAGTGCAGTGGGATTTGAAGGGGAGCCACAGCCAAAGGGGAGGAGCCTTGTGCTCTCACACAGTGTTTTCACCTAATGACTCCCGAGCTTTGGTCCATTTCAAGCATATTGGACATATATGAAATAACTCTGGATGTCATAAAAATCTGTGGTGAGGGTGGGGAACGACTTGGATGTGTGCTCAGCAGGGGATGGGCTGTGCCATGGGGCCCATCTGCTGCAGGGGCTGGTGCCTTGTCCAGCCGTGCACAGGAAGGCAGGCGAGAGCGGCAGGGAGAGGGGAGCGTGGGAGGTCCTGGGGGCACTGGAGCAGGTGATGGAAATGGGGAAACCAGAATTTCCTCACAAAGTGGCAGAAGGGTTCTTGCTCAGTTATTTGCATTTCCCTTTTTTTTTTTTTTTTTTGTTAAACATACACATTTCTGATCCTTTGAGAAAGTCTTGCTCAAAAATCTGAATACAAGCAGGTGGGATTTTGCACCAGCAAACAGTGATATTACAGTCTTCAGTTCTGCCAGCATTTATTTCTTGTGATTATTTGAGTTAATTAGAAAGGTTTGAGGTTTGTATGTGACTCTGCAACTGCAGACCTGCAGTGATTTAGACTACTGACGGTAGCAATTCCATGTGAAAAAAATGCCGAGGTAAGGCTTCACACAAAGGTCACAGTGTTGTCCGAACTCTCTTTGAGTAGAAGTCCTCGGTAGATCTCAGACTCTGTTGAGAGCAGAGCAAGGCAGAAGTGGAGGGCTGCCTCTTCCACCTCGAAACCTGCATCACTCCCAGACCTGGCCCCCCCAGCTCTCCCAGGGCCATGTAACATCTCTCAGTGTGCTGACCATGAGGGTTTTTCTCCAGGAGATGTGTTAAATTTCCCTGTCCTTGCAGTGCCTGGTTCTTGCCATGGTGCAGGCTGCTGCCCTCTGCTTTTCCAGCCCTGTCCCCGGTGGCAGCAGGTGGGTAGGGAACTGTGCTGCTGAGGATGTGGTTATTTTCTCTGCTTTCTTTCCTCTTCCCACTTATCTAAACTGATTCCTTCTCCTAATTTTCCCTAGGAAGTTTGGTTTTTTCTTTTTTTTGGAGGGTGAGATTTGTTCTGCTATAGCCAGAATACAAACAAAATAATTGGAAAAAAGACTTCATGGCAAACAAATGGCATCTCCCAAACTCTTTTTACTTGAAGTAGACTCCTTTATTCTTTTTTCTTCCTACCACATCAGCTTTTCTGATCTCCCCAAGAGTTTTTTTTTTTAGAAATTATTTTGGATAACGTATTTGTTATTCTCAATGCATTTAATATGCTGTCTACAAGCATTTTTCCCTATCAGCTGCTGCTTTTTAAAGCCTCCCCATTTGTCTGACTGACTTCTTTCTGAAATTAAGCAGTACTCCCAGGAGTATTTTTCTCTTGCTTTTGTGCACCTGAAGGGATATTGAGTCCGTGAGTGCTGAGGTTGCTGTCGGAGGGTGGCTGTGTAAAGTTTAGAGCCAGACCTCTTCACTTGGAACTGAGCCAAGAGTTGATACTGTTGATAAACCACGAGAGTTTTTTGAAAGCACATCTTACAGGCCAGTAGCTTTTCTCTTCATTTATAAGCAGTGAGCCAAGTGAATATTTTTTTTCCTCAATAAGATGTTTTGGTAGGACTCCTGTGTGCGCCAGCCCTGCTTCATCACCTGCTTCACACAGTCATTTCTGTTACTTTCTGCTTTGAGGAAAGATACTGCTTTTACACTAACTTCATGCAGGCAACAAAAACTCCATACAGTGTGTTTCCCAGTAATGCCCCAGATCACAGTGTCTGTTCTGTCTGGGCATGTGTTTTCGCAGGCATTTTGCAATACTAAAGACTTGCTTTGGGACTTTTTGACAAAAGCAATAACGCTAACTCCAATTACTTAGATATTTTTATGAGTGAGTGGCTATTAAAATTTTCTTCTTCCATTTTTTGCCATTCCTGAAAGTGAAGTCTCTGCACTGAAGCTTCCCTTTAAAACTACCCTATTTTTTTTTTTTATCACCTCAGCAGTAGAGAAACTGTCACATTTTTAATCCCAGGCTACTGCGAACTTTGGTAACAGTGTGACTATCTAGGTACCCAGTGTCTCTCATGAATTTTCTTCCTGTATCAATCGTGAAGTCAGATGGCCTCATGCCTTCTTCCTCTGTCCTGTTCTCAAGCTGAATTTCAAGACAGGAGCACCTTTGCTGTAAGATGTTGCTTTGTTTTATCTGCCACCCCCTCAGAATGCTGCACCATCAGGGACACCCAGCTATACGGTACCAAAGTATGCACAAAATGGGCAGGATGATGCGCGTCAGCTAAAAGCTCTGTTTGTCTTAGACTTTTAGGTGTTTTTTTTGTTTTTCTCTTGGGAAAATATTTTTTCCTCTACTGTAATAATTAAGGGAAGTACGGCGATACTTAAGAAGGAAGGTCACAAACTATTGCACTAAATATGAATCTGAGAGTGCCTAAAAGCTATCACTACATGACGTTTCCAGTGACTGGTGATAATGCAGAATCACAAGTTTGGACTTTAGTAATGAGTGTGTGGTACTTCTTGTTTCTCTCTTTCCTTTTTAACAGTGTCCTGGGAGGTAGTATAAATACCTTGACTTTTAAGTGGAGTCTGATTTTTAAGAACATATGAAGCTCAACAGCTGTTTTTGGTATCCGTAAATACTTATTTTATTTGACATTTGTCTGAAGTTTTATATGCCTTTAAAGTGCCAGCTGTATTTTGAAGACATTCTCACAGTTGTTTCAAGTGAAATTTTGAATGCTACAAATGGAAAGAGATCATTTTCCTGTGAATAAACTGTGTTAAAGATGGTGCCCTCAGGCTTATTTTTACAAGGTCAGTGAGTGCTCTGTGCATGTGTGCTGATGCGTGCCCTGCCCACCCCGCCCCGTTATTAAGGGTGTCTAAAGCACACACGGTGTTGTCAGATGCGGCATCAAGTTTCAGAACAAACTTCGGTGGCTTAGTAGAGCAAACAGAGCTGAAAAGTTTTGAACCTAGGTAGGCTGAGCTGTACTGTGGGTGAAGATCTCATACTAGGCTGAGTAAAAGCAAAACTGGGACTTAGTTTTTGTGGGTAAGATTAAGAGCATACTCCTGATTTTAATTTTTTCATGTTTTTTTTTAATCTTGTCTCTCTTATTGGGGACTTCCATGGAAATGCTACAATAAAAGATATTTAATAAGAGGATGGTGTGTGACAAAAGACTTTAGATAAGAAGTGACAGACACTGATACTTCACTCATTTTTTCTCTTTCTGTGCAGTAGAAATGAGATGCTGGGGAGCAGGGAGCTGCTTAGCCCATGCCTTCAGGGAGATTTAGAAAAGGATTGCCTGATGGCAAGTAGGTATTCAATGCACTCATGTCAGTATTGACAGTTTAGGAGTTGACACCAGACAGCCTGGAGGAAACGCCTGTCTGGTGAGACTGAGGGAGCCACACCGTGCCTTATCATTTACTCCCTGCAGTGGAGCCACAGATGAATAGCTGCCACACTGTGTTTTTGCTGCAGGTGAAAAGATGGGGAGGGAGAGAAATGGGAAAAGCTGTTCTCAGATCCCAGGGAGAGCCAGGGATGTGGTGGTGTGCATGTCCCAGCCTGGGCCGCCAGTAGCCACTTCTGGCTTTTAGGTGAGCACAAACCCTAAACAGCGCACCTCTACCACGTCCAGTTCCTCTGCTCCCCATGCCTCCCCCGTGCCTCTTTCAGCTGTGCTCCCAGGTCGGCTCACACTGAGTGGGCTCCTGTCCCCATGGGCTGCATGCAGGAGCCCCTCGCTCTGCGTGTTCTCCCTAGCTCCAACCGCTGTCTCCTACTAAATGCGATGCCGGGACAGCGTCTTCCTCCCGTGGCTTAAGGTGGGTTTTGCCCATAGAGGAGAACTAAAGAAAAGCGTATCTCATTGTTTTTCATATCGGGCTGTCAGTGGTTTCAGAGAGTCCTTGTGGTCTGATAAATGAATTCAACAGGTTGATTATTTCTTCTAACGGTTCTGCCGAATGAAGACAGAACTATTTTTTTTTAAAGATATTTAATAAGATATTTTTTCAAATCAGTACAAAAATTTTAAATACAAAATTATTTGCTTTTGACATATCTCATATATTCTGGGAACATTCCGAAGTCACCAATGCCTGGTAAACTGTCCATCCATTCCTGCCACCGTTCCGTAAAATTTCTGAGATAAAGCACCACATTATATCACTGGAGTCCTTAGTCAATGTTAGACTGCATTAAACTCTGCATTTAAATAATGGTAATGCCAGTTAAATCCAATCTTAGTTCTGCATGAAAAATCTAGTTCATTTTTGAATCAAAAGCAGTAGCGTTAGCTAAAGACATTGAAGAAGTGATGAGGATTTAACTCTTTCAACTAGCGTAACAGTGTGTGATGTGCAGCACTGTACAGGGAAACACAGCAAAGTACACTGCCCTTTGGAAACGGATACTCTTGAGGTGAGATTAGCACCATTGAGGAGCAGACAGCTCTTGCAGAGAAGTTGCTTTCCTCGTGTACAGAAAGGATTGAGGCCTGCAGGTTTTCCTTGACAACTGGTAACGTATAAATAAGGATTAGAAATCAGCTTTTATATAAAATGAAGGTCTTGGATAAATTTGTGTGATCAGTATTGCTGGTAAAGTTATTGGTTGATCTCAAACAAATTAGTTAATTAATAAACAGAGCTACTTCTGCTTTGCCTAGTCATTGCAGAGTAAACTGATTTAACTTTTGTTGAGTGGCAGAATAGACGTCTCTTCTGACAAGCCAAGCAGATGCAGGTTCTTAGCCTGAGCACAGAAATCCAAGCAAATTTATGCCGCTCTGCTGTACTGCCATGTGTTTGGCCAAAATGTCTCCATCACGTGGCACAAAGCAAAGGGGGAGCCCTTCATTTTTGTCTCTGATCTACCTCCTCTGCTTCAACTGTGCAAATGCAGATGGAGGTTTTTTGAGTGCTGTGGCATTGGGAGGTGAACCCAGCGCCTGCTGGAGTCAGTGGCGGCATTTTGGGTCCAATGAATGCTTAAGAAGGCTCATGAGGAATAGTTACTCCATCCATCTATAGACTTCTTTTTCATCATAAATAAATTGTTCAAGAAAAAAACACACCTGCAAGAATATTTTATATGGGGGGAAGGGAAATAAAGGCCTCCAGCTGAGAGCCCTTGCTTGTCAGGCAGACCTGCTGTCAAAGAAACAAGAAACCCCACCCAAACAAATAAAAAGCCACTCAAATTTTTCCATATAATTTGAGACTGACCTACTCTGGTTTAAGTCACTGGTTTTCATCTCAAAACTATGATCAATGCAACAGTCAAATACGCAACAGGAGTGAGTGACGTACACTGATTTGAACCTTAATACTGAATTATTGTGAATGAAATGAAGTAAGCATGGCATCAGAAATATATAATGTACAGCTAATATGTCCCCCTTGGGTGCAAAACAACTGTTTATGAACCTGATACACATCTTTAGATATGTTCACCACACTTTTTTTTTTTTGTAAGTAGCTGTGCATAATGTGAAACTTTGTTGGTTTTTTTGTTTTTGTACAAGATGGTCCAAAACGGTCATAAAATGCATCTTTCATGGTATAAGTTTGAAGCAGAGAAGAAAGGTTTTCATTTTGTGTGTACGTGTGTGTGTGTGTCTGGTTTTTATTTTACATGGGATACAATAAATATCCTGAAAAAGATGAATGAACATACTGCCCGGCATAGAGTCCTGCTGCCTGCTCGGATGGCATTTGAACGTAAACCTTGTCTCCGTGCATCAGCGGGACAACGGCGCTGCCCGAAGCCTGGTCCAGGAAGCCCTTCTTGTATTCGTCGTAGGTGTACATCAGTGGCTCATTGTTCTTGAACAATGCCACCCAGACGCTGGCCCCTTTACAGTGGACATGGTAGGCGAAGTAGTAGATACCGGGGATCTCACAGGTGAAGATCCCCGTCTGGGGGTTGTAGTTCTGCCGGCCATTGTAGAGGAGCTTGTCGAACTTCACGGGCACCCCGACCCGTGGGAAGGGGGTGAGGAGCTCTGCTGTGAATGCGGGCATCTCATAGATGGCGCCGCCAGCCTTGCCTTTCTTGTAGCCGTAGGGGGGCTTCACACCGTCTATCCCTGGCCCGACCTCAGGCAGGTACTGTCCCACGGCCGGTGGCGTGGGTGGGATGATAACTGGGGGACCTGGGGGCCCAGGGGGGCCAGGTGGCCCCTGAAGGCCTGGTTGGCCAGGGGGACCAAGCGCCCCAGGCTTCCCTGGGGGTCCCTGTAG